TAAACTACATAATTTAATTAATAAGATCTTATAAAAAGGATATAAAGGAGGATGGAGGAAGAGTTTTAAATTAGAAGGTAAAAAAGAATGCGGAACTAGGAGAGAAAGTAAGGTGAAACTAAAGTTTTAGAACATGTTTGGCATTGACATGTAAATTTTAATTGAAATACTCTATCAAATATGTACTTATGATATGAAAATTATAAAGTGCTCGCAAATTAAAAAAAATTCTGTTCAAAGAATATGCTCAATGGGGTTTTGAATATAATTCTAATAAGATAATATATGCACTTAATACAAAAATATATTTTTAATCTTTTAACTTCTAATATATATAAGGTTTTAATTTTATTTTTTAATTTTATAACTATCATTTCAATTCTCTTACTCCTGCATTGTTACTCTCAAGTGATGATTTTTGTAATAATCATTGTTAGTTTGAAAATTATTGTTAGCATTTATTTTTTTTTAAATGTTTAAAGTGTCAATATCAGTGTTTTTTTTTTAACATCGTTGGTTTAAGGAACTGAAAGAATACCCTGTAGAATTGTAAAATTAGAAAACTAAAGTAACATTTCGTGTAAACTTAAAAGACTGGAAATATATTTTTCTCCCAAAATAAAATTCCGAAAAACAACCACCGCTAGCCAACACAAATCAGAAATTAATCAACAAGAAAAATGAAGAGTAATTTTAAAAGTTTATAGTAGTTTTTTTAAAAAAATTAATTCCTTATGTATGCTCCTATTTAATTGTAATATCTACTTAGTCTTTACAATTTTCAAAACATGTTATAAATCGTAATTGGGAGAGCATAAGATAGCCCTAGTCTTTTTCGTTTTTTAAGTGAGTTAAGAATTGAAGGATTAAAAAATTAATCTTTTCTAAAATGAATTAAGTAATTGTTCATGAAGCTTATTTCGAATTTTGGATCATCTAATCTGAATTTTTTTAAAAATGTAGTGATTTAGAGTGTTTGTATTGAATAGAGATAGGACCATTTCTTTTTTTAGACCTCAAAGAAGGATGGACCATTTTGATTCCTCTTCAGATCTACTAGTACTTGCTTACACTTGCTACTTGCAATAATTACGTTATAGTATATAAATGCACACACATTACTGCAAATAACGTTGAAATTTTAATTTGATGACGACGGCGATGGTGCATTGATGCTCATTAGTTACTCGCAATGGCGACCATTAATTGAATAAAATAATCAACGGCAATACCTCCTTATCTTATTATAGTACTCTTAGTAACTCTCTTCAAAACATTTTGACGATCAAAGTTTAAATGTTCTCTACTGAACTGCCTCGGATTTAATGGGTAATTAAGTCACGTGTTCCGTTAAAGCACCAGGGTTGCCTCATCGTCCCTCCCTGCGCTTTACCATTCATATTCTAAATAGAAGTCACTTGTAAGATGAAATTTTAATTCTAAATATAAGTCACTTATACTATGTTTAATTCATTTTTTTAATTTTAATTTTATTTAATTTAATTTTTATTAGAAAGAGAGAAAGAATGAAAAGATATGTGAATGATTCGTAAATATATAAAGAACATGAAAGTAAAATTGAGAGTGAGAAATTTTATCAATCTAATGGATTTATTAGTATGCGAAGATGCATTACATATGGCTTATATTGACGACAAAAGTAGTATAGTGTTTTAGTTATTCAAAATTGTCAAGACTAACTTTTTTCCACAAACAAAAAAGAGCTATAAACTTTTGAAATTACCCTTCAATTATCACTAAATCCAACTCACCTTTTTAATTTCCACTCATCTATGAAAGGCGCTGCGTGATAAGATTTATTAATACTATATATACTCTTTAATGTAAGAACTAATTGACTAATTTGAGCGGATTAAAAAAATTAGTTAAATTAGTTATTTATAATAAATATGTATTGTCTTTCATAAAATATTCTTGCTAATCAAGTGTATTTACTAAAACTATCATTTGATTAAACTTTTAACATGTGTAACTACTACAAAGACTATTTTATAATAAATATGAAAAAACAAAGTGAATTAAAATCTTATATTTAGGATAAAATTAAAATTTAAACTATTTTTTATATTAAGAATATGAGGTAATATATCATAATAGATATTAGCTCCGGTCCTAATTATAAGACCCAGTTGATTAATTTGGGGAGATTAAGGAACTTAGTTAAATTAGTTATTTGTAATGAAAATATATTGTTTTTCCTAAAATATCATTGTTAATCAAGTTTGTTATCTAAAACTATTATTATTAGAAGGATTATTTTGGAAAAAATATATAAATATGAGAGACAAAGTAGATTTGGACCTTATATTTAGGATCAATATAAAAGTCAAATAAGATCTTATATTAAGGAATGGAGGTAGTATTTTATTAATTATATTATATGCTCTCTCTCCCATGCTAAATATAATGTTGATTTGAATAAAATAAAAATTAATAACTGGAAGTCTGGAATCGTTGCGAAAGGTCGGTAGTGCTCCATTGTGGTTCTCCCTCCGCTGACCACGGGTCCATTGTATTAATTTAAACCGTCAAAACGACAAAAGGAAGTATTTTCTTTAAAGAAGAGTCCAAAAAGTTTTGGCGAGTCAAGTAGGGGATGCATATCAGGCGACTGTGTTATGAGTATATTTAATTATTTATAAATATAGATTATCGACTAATACAATTTTTATATTTTTATATTGGCAATAGGATAAATTTTGTCCATAAAAAAATGAAAGCAAGCGCATAAAATAGGTCTGATAAAATATATTTATGGACAGCAAAAAAAAAAAAATTTATAGAATGCATAACTCTTCCTCTCATGCGCAAAGCCCACGGATGGCTTGTTTGGATTTACTATCAATCAATAATTATGTCTATGTAAGTCGACACAATATTTCTATCACATATTTATATTGTATTTTATAAGTAATACTCCTCCTGTCCTTATTATAAGACCCAATTTAACTTTTTATTTGGTCCTAATTATAAGACCCAATTCATTTTCTCTCTTATATTTATGTATTTTTTTCTAAGATAATCCTTCTAATAATGATAGTTTTAGCCAATATACTTAATTAACAAGGATATTTTAGGAATAACAACACTTATTTATTATAAATAACTAACTTAACTTACTTCCTTAATCTCCTCAAATAAGTCAATTGGGTCTTATAATTAGGACCGGAGGAGTAATTGAAAAGCTAATTATATACCTTTCTGATTCTTAATATAAGATCTATTTAACTAATTGGATTAGATTAGGTAAAGTAGTTAATTATAAGAAATATGATATTTTTTTCTAAAATATCATAATCATCTTTTTTAATATCTCATCTTCCTTTTCTACTTGATTATGGTTGAAGAAGTGTCTATAGGGGTAATTTAGAAAAAATTAATAAATATAAGAAATAGGTCTTATATTTAGAACCAAAACCAACTCAATAATTAGGTTTTATATTAAGGATTGGAAGAGTATTACTTATAAGCTATTTCAAATAAGCCTCAAAGAAATGGGAAAAACTGTACTTTCTTGCTACATCATTAGTGCTTGTGAATTGACTAGTTTTGTGATACTACTTCTACCGGTATTTAATAAAAGAGTTAATTTAATATTTAATTTGATTCTAAATATATGAGCTCAATCAATTTTGTCTCTCATTTTTTTAAGGTATACTTTTTACTAATTGTATATGTTAAAGATTTAAGATAATATACATAATTAATTAGGATATTTTAAGAAAGACAACACATATTTATTACAAATAATTAACTTAATTAATTTTTTAATATATTTAAATTAGTTAATTAACTTTTATATTAAGATCAAAGGTAGTAATCAGATTTGCACGGTGGGTTGATAATTTAGAACATTTAATATTATAAAATTTCAATCGCTTATTTGTTATTGAAAAATTGAAATAAAGACAATCACTTATAGTAAATAGATCGGTGAATGAAAACAAGCGAGGCCACTTTACTTTTTCACTATGGGCCACGGCTTGAAACCTCTTTTTTTTTTTTTTCCATGCTCTTTCTTTTTATTTTTTTTAACTATTAAATTAATATTTTAACGGTTTAGATTTAAATCTTTTTAAAATTGTTATTAAAATATTAAATTATAAAAATAAATAAATAATAAATTACGAACTATATTAAAATTTAACCTTAATAGTTTGCAAATGCACTAAATTTTTTTAATAAATAATTTATAAAAAAATTAAAATATAAAATGTTGAAAAATGTTAATCTAATAGTTAAAAAAATGGTAGAAAAAGAAGAGGGGAGGTCTGACATGTTTATAATTGTTAATAATTTTAATTTTGCACGTACACGCAATCACGCATGTGTAGCGTGGACGTCTCATGCTTTCATAAAAGATTAAAAATACTCCCTCCATTTCTAAACATATAAATTAGTTAAAAGATTTGTTTTAAATTTTAATTTTAAATATAAGATTTTATTCTTCCAAATTTATAATTTTTTAAAAAATTATATTTCTATTTCTTGCATATATTGTAAAAAAAGAAAAATTCTAAGAAAAATGATAGTTGAAAATTTCAAAACCTCAAATGGTAAAATTGTTGTATGACAGGAACATTCCTTGCTATTGTACCGTTAATTATTCTGAATTTGCCTTAATAAATATATACAAAATAATTCCACAGGGATGGTATTTTTTTTTTTTTTTTGGCCAGCGCTATTGAAGTGTTACCATGATTTATGGAAACTTGAGAAAATCATCCAGATTCCCAATTTGGGCTTCCTTCTTTATTGTTTGGATGAGAGGGGGTGATCTTTCAACCACCTCCATGGTTATGTGGCACGCTCTTATTGGATAGAAGAACAAGTGTACCAGCCAAAGCGCCATCCTGCTTGTACAAAAAGACAAAAGGATGACGATGAAGGATATCTAAATTAGAAGACTCTCCGAAAACACGAACCACAAACACAGATTCTGAGACCAAAATATCCGCGACACGCACTGCCACAGATGTTCATTTCCTAGAAACTACCCCAAAAATGGGCGCAACTCAAGCCACTTCCATTAATTCCATTATAGGATCAATCTGAGCAAGTTTGAAGAACCAAATTCGATCTTGAAACGATGGCTGCTTTCGCTTCGGCTGCTCTTCAGTACTCATCCTCGTCGTCTTTACAATCCCAGATGCATTCCTCGCCGTTGGCACCTTCTTTAGAACCCACACATGATCATAACCTGTGGGTGAGAGTGAGATCACAGAAATCCACAAGGCCAATATCTTACCCTCAGAATAATCCGACGGGGTTAAGAATCCGAAGTGCGGCTACGAAACCAGCGAAATCACCAGGTACTTGTTTTAGAGTTTACTGAAACTGAAATGTTATATGGCCTCGAAGACGTCATGGATGAACCTTAATCCGATCATTTTTCCTCAATTTTTTTGGAGGTTTTAGCTGAAGAAGAGTGGAAGAAAAAGCGAGAAGTTCTGCTGCAGAAAAGAGTGAGTCCCCGTTTCTGTCATTCTCAGATTTATACTCCCTAAAGCACAAATACACGAAGTTTCATTCTTTTACAGTGCCCTTCAATGGAAGAATACATACTCATATAAATCGAGAACTAAGATACTTCAAGAGAATGCACATTGTGCGAGACACAACAGTACCTTTTGAGGCAGCCTATGTTTTCCAGTGGCACATAAACCATGTCAAAGAAGATAGACATGCTTTGACAATCTACTATAAACGTCAAAAAGATGAAATATTAAAAGGTGCATGCTATTGCAGGTAAGAAGTGTGGATGCCAAGGAAGCTCTGCGCCTTCAGAAAGAAAATAACTTTGTGATTCTTGACGTTAGACCAGAAGCAGAGTTCAAAGAGGTGAGCAGTTGTTGTCCTTATCGACACTGGCAAGAATAAAGAACTTTAGAAGATAAATAGTGATTTGGTCATACTTGCTGCACTTATAGATTCATTAAATTTGCATCATTTTTCTTTCTCTCTGATTTGCATGAATCACAATATGCACATGATCGGTTTGGTGATTAGCGCAGGCCCATCCCCCTGGAGCTATCAATGTACAAATATACAGACTTATAAAGGAGTGGACGGCCTGGGACATAGCCAGGCGTGCTGCATTTGCATTTTTTGGAATTTTTCAAGGGACTGAAGAGAACCCTGAGTTCCTGCAGAGTACGATACATATTATTCTTCATTAACCCACTTCTAATGCACTGTTTACTGAAATGAGTTGGAAGAAACTGATCTGTGATTGTGCTAACTAGGTGTGGAAGCACAAATAGATAAGAATGCCAAGATTATTGTAGCCTGCTCAACAGGGGGTACCATGAAACCATCCCAAAATCTACCAGAAGGTCAACAATCAAGGTACTCTCTCTGTCCCCGGTCACAAGAGAACGATTAAGATCTTATTTCCCCCCCTAAAATATGAGAGAATTGAAGAAAGTTAGTGGTCTAATTAATGCACATTTCATTAAGTTATCTAATAAGGCGTGACTCCACTTAATGACTTGACTTGGAGTGTTTTTGAAAAGGAAAAAAGGACAAATTGTGACATATTTATAGCATTTAACCAGCAAAACTAAACTTTTCTAGGTTGAAATAGGATACATTAGCTAAATCAGGCCATTTGGCTGCAAGATTGCTCAATCAAAAGCCTTTACATGATCCTCAAATGGCTAAATTTGAAATTTCCTGCAGATCATTGATAGCAGCCTACTTGCTAGTCCTCAATGGTTATACCAATGTCTTCCATCTAGAAGGTGGTCTTTACTCATGGTCGAAAGAGGAACTGCCGCTGGTCTCGGAGGGATGAAACTACTGCCAGGAAAGTGATTGCAGCAAAGCTTTAGTTTTGACCATCATGAGAATTCAGATAAATTTATTGTTGAATATAACCTGGGTGTAATTTGAGTACGCATGAACTGATGACAAGAATGACAATTTACTCTCTACAGAGATGTCATCCCAAGCCCGGTGCTGGGAAGGGGCCACTATTTCTAAATTGCAGAAGCATGCCAGCTTCATTAAAAATAATTAGTTTTTTAAGCATTTCACGTTATGTTGCTGTCAATACCCATCAAGAACTCCAGTATGGAATACAAAAGAAAAGGACCCAAGAAAAAGGGAAATTACTTTCATTCTAATGCCAAGGAAATGAAGTGGTTCTGTAACTCTTCTCACACCTGGCTTTACCTAAGCCTTTAAACCATGATAACTTCTATTTCCTTCAATAAAACCACTGACGTGCGCTACAACCTGGGATTCCCGCAGCATCAGAAAGCTTGTCATTTTCCAAACCTCTCCAAAGATGTGATAAAGGTTTTCTACTATCAAATGGATAAGATGAAACTCAAAACTGCCACTGCCTGCAATCGCCAGTTCTAGGTATGAAACGGGGGGTCCCTTGTTCGAATAATTTGCGCACCAGAAAAGTGTTTGGGGAAGCGAAGCAGGAAGCAGGCAAAAGCTTCCATTGTGCGTGCCCAGTTGGGCCAATTAATTAAGTATTTAATATAAAAGCTCCTTTGATATTTATTTAATTTGTCTGTAAGCAAGAGTAGTTCTAATGTACATGATTAACTGGAGTATTTTAAGGAAGATATCTATTTATTATAAATAACTAATTTAATTAATTTTCTTAACATTTGTAAATTAGCTATCTAGTTCTTATGTTAAATGCTAGTAGTATAACAATATGAATAAAAAATTTCATAGACAATTTTGTTAGAGGTATTGTCAAGTAGACACCTAGCCCTCATTCAGCATGCTGTGAAGAACTAGCACTTCTACCTAATAGTTATATCCTTATTGAAACTGAAATCACTTGAATAAATATAATAGTCACAACACCAGCCTACGGAAGTCGCTTCAGTTCTCGGGCTCCTATTTCTAGTTGGGCCTCTTATGATTATTCAGGCTAATCCATCTTATTTGCAGTTGACCATCCATGTGGGCCAATTTTCTTGCCTTCGCTATAAATTGTCACTCGTCAATCAACGCGGCTATCCCTGATTTCTGAGTTTTGTTTGCTTTGGTAGTATCAAATTTGCAGATAGTTTAGTGATTGAGAAGGAGCTCAATTAATTTGATTGTTGCATTCTGAAATATCTTCTTCATAAAGAAACAATTGAGCATTCTGAACTCGTCAAGCAAGGAAAAAGAATGTTCCATCATTTACCATTTCAAAAAAAAAAAAAAAGAGTCTAAAATATAATTGCTCTTTTCAGCAAACAGTCCTTTCGTAAGATGGGAAAAGAGGGAGGAAAAGAGTACAGTAAATAACTTCTTGATTCGGACATACATTTGATCCGACCCAAACAAGTTTTATGCTTCTGCTTGTGAAGCATCCTTTTCCGTGGGCCCCGAAGGCAGATTCTCCTCTTTCCTCCTGCTGCCGAACCGAAGGAGTCCGTACAACTTGCGAAACTCCCTCACCGTGTGAACACTCTCTCTACAGTAAAGCCCATCGGGTTCGCCCAAATCCACGCTATTCCGACCCGACCCACTTTCACTTAACTTCCGTCCCCTCCTCCCATCGCTTTGCAACGCCGTGATGACAGTTTTCAAAGCCCGGCTTGGCGAACTCCGATTCGATATCATAATCTCGCCGATCTCGGCCGGGCTCAGTCTCGCCCCCGTCTGGAAAACCTCCTCCACCTGCGGGAAAAGCTTGTGCTCCTTCACCCCCAGATAACTGCTCGCTAAAATCTTGAAGGTGGAGAAATCGCATAACGGGAAGTGTATGTGAACATCGATCCTCCCTGGCCTCATCACCGTTGGATCAATCTCGTCCTTCACGTTCATTGTGAAAACCATCACGCGTTCTTCCCCGCAGCACGATACAATCCCGTCCATGAAGCTCAGTACACCTGGCAAGTTCGCGTCCGTTGATTTCCCTGTCAAGAATCGATCGAGATCCTCGATGACGATCACGGACCTACTTGTTGTCTGTAACAAAAGAGTCTTCAAGTCGGAGTCGTTCGAAGCCTTGGAGATATCGATGTCATAGACGTCGTAACAGAGAAATTTGGCCATTGCGGCGATGAAACTGGATTTCCCTGTCCCGGATGCACCGTAGAGGAGATAACTCCGTTTCCAAACACGACCTAATCGATGATAGTACTGCTTCGACTTCATAAACTGTTCGAGATCGGACTTCACCTTGTTCTTTAGCTCGGCGTCCATCGCTATCGAGTCGAAGCTCGCCGGGTGGGTGAATGGAACCGATCGCCACCGCGAGTTAGCATCTCTATCAGAATTCATGTGAAGTTTGACATCTTTTCTTCTTTTCTCAACTTCATCCGCTACCGTGAGAATGTGCTGGAAATAAGGGCGGAAGATTCTGCGTTTGTCTTTCTTTTTAATTCTGAGAACCATTGCTGAATTCGCGTCTCCTTCGGATTTCCTGTTCGTCCAGGAAACTTTCGCGCCGAGGAAGGAATCGTGAACCGTCTGGTTAGCATCGAGGTGAAGGAAAATTTCACTGGGATTGGAACCGGAAAAGAGGTTTGTGTAATCAGAATCTTCTACGGAAGGTAATGAATTAAGGTACGAGAGGATTTGGCGGTAAAGTTGATTTTCCTGGAAATGCTCATTGTACAGTGGGATTTTGAAGGACTGGTACACATGAAGACGGTTTTCGAAGGAAATCCACGATTGCCTAAGAATGTACAGAACCGAAGTTCTGCGGAGAAAACGAGCAACAAGGAGAAAAATAACTAGTGCGAAAAGGATGGAAGAAATGGAGCTAGCCCAAATCATATTTTGATAGAAGCTAAACTACGAGATTCTGTAAGAACTCGAAAAATCGGAATGATTATCCATGTTTGAGGAACTGGGGGATGAGAAGATTACTTAGCTTGATGAGTTTGAAGAAGTCTGGCGGTGCCGGCCAGCGGTAAAATTGATCGGTCAAAGAATAATTCTATTCTTGTGCTCTTGCTTTGAATATATGACCAGAGACGGCTTCTCAAAGCATTGATAGTGGCCTTATATATAAGATTGAATCAGTCTGTATTTAATTTTTCAGGTTTTGACCCTTGGCTCCTATTGGTTCATATATATTCTACGAATAATATATATAAAATATTTTTGGTCTAAAAGAACGTTTTTGATTTCTGTTGAGTGCCCTTTTTTTTCTCCCTATTTATACACATTTATGTTTCAATGAGTAATTTTATTAAGCAATCATGAATGATGCATATGATAAGGTGCTCATGTGAATCGAAAAGTGGAACTTTAGCAAATGACAGACTATTGGTAAGCTGTCTTAATCAACTGTGTATTTGAAATGGCAAAGACAATAACGAAATTCACATCTCAATATGCCCTCCTCATTATGGCTTTGTTTTTGCGTTTTTTTTTTAAAAGTGAAAAAATAATCTTTAAAAAATGAAAAGAATATGTTATATAAAAGTTAGACGAGGGAATGTAAATATGTCATTACCTCCCTGCCTTGACATATTGATGCATTTTATTTAAATAATTTTTTTATTAGTAAACAAAGTAATGGAAGCAACATATTCTCTAAAGGCTAGCCATAAAGAAGACACTTTAATCCAAAAGGGCACGAAGGGGACGTAGGGAAAGATCTGAAAGGATCAGCCCAGATAAAAAAACAAAAAAAAAAACTGAAGAGTATAATATTGCATTTAAGTGCTTTGTTTGTAGTTATAACTAATTTGAACTGGTAAACACGGTTTTAAAGTTGAAGGGAATATTAATGCGGCTGCCAATTACTTGTGCCCCGAAATCGGCGGCCTCCACTGGGACTTTGATATCAATTCAAACAACGCATGCCATCTATTTTATTCCTTTTATTTATAATTTTTATCTGTACACCATAAAATTTATACTACTCTATATAACAAGAACTTCACATATTTCGGATCGGGTTGTTTTTGGTTATTCTGTAGTAACAAGTTTTTAGTAGTCATCGTGCACATATGAACTATGGGGAGCCGGTTATCGCATTTATTGTGATGAGAGTCCTCTTCAGTGTTAATCATAAAAATTAGTTCTAATAAATACCTGAAAAATTTTTATGCAAATTTTCTTTAAAAAATTACTTTGATCTATTATTCATCATCATTACGTAAAAAACGGATGTTATTTTTTTAAAAAAATGTTGCTTTCAGAGAAATAGAGTATTAAACCTAAATGTGAGGCACAGATAGTGAGAAAAATTATCCAATTAATAAGAGTAATTTATGGAAAAAATATTAAATGCAAAAAATAAAAAAAAAAGTTGAAATCCTGTATTTAAAATCAAAGTTTTGCATTAATCAAAGAAAGCATATAAAATAAGAATAATGAGTATGGGTGTGAGTGTGATACATTCAACAATAAGTTACGAGCTATTGTTGGCTCATAAATGATGCATATTGTCGTCATTTTCATATTATACAGAAAACTCCATCAACTGTCGGAAATGCTTCAAGTTGTTTTAGGATTATTGCTCTTTGAATAATCCGACCACGGATACCTTGTGGCCTGTGATGTGGACCATGCTCTGTATCCAAGACTACTATGCGCTTTGCACCCAAAAAAAAAAAAACAAATCATCGTTCTCGAATAACTAAAATTTGTGGAAAAGAATTTGGCCTCAAGAAAATTAGCCGGCATGGATTGTTTGAAAGACCAACTCCGAAGAAATTTTACAAACTGGAACACAAAGTAATCTTCGGTCCAGGGAAGAAATATGTGGGAGCAAGAAAGAACTATAAGTTTGTCCCTCGCCTTATGCTTCTTCTTCATTGTTTACCTAAAGCTTAGTTCAAATCAATATGCTTTTCTCAGATCAAAAAAAAAATCAATATGCTTTCCATGCCAAAAACTCCCGTCAAATCATTATTTACCTCCGGAAAAAAACAAGCTGATTGTATCATGTACCATCTGTGTCCCAATCATTTGCAACCGTCTATGTCTCCAAGATCCCTGGCCAAGGACTTCTCTGGACAAAAATGAGTCACATTATAAATCCGAAATCCTAGATGAGATCGTTTTCACCCAGCCTTTCACTTTTTCTTGTCTTGTTTCACACGGGTCTCTTCCCAATAACAGTGGTCGGTAATGATGGAACCACGATGCAAAAGTATCAACCAAAGCAAGCTAAAGACAGGGCAGGGGGAACTGGGAAAGGCTTGCTCCTCCGCGAGTGGTCCCGCCGGAAAAAGAGTACTTACAATCTGTGGTCCCTTCTCTCACACTCCATGAAAGAATGCGAAGATGATGGGAAAATGCTTGCACCTTTCAAAAGTGAAGTAACGTTAATCATCATGCTGAGTTGGTAGACCCACTAAGCCTGAACGTACAATAATTCAGATCCCCACTTCTTCACTGCAACGCCAGTTATTTCACTGACCTCTCAATCATTGATGGCTGTTGGCAACTTGAAAATTCTGATGTCTTCTATCTTAAAGCCTTTTCTGTTAAAAAAAAAGTTTTTTGTTAGCTCCATGGCCGTTACTCCTCTATCGATCATAGATCCATCTCAAACACAATTCTTGAATGATTAAGGACTGGCTTTATTAAAGAAGTCGGGCCAGAAAAAAGGTTTCAAGTAACTGTGGCATAATGGTATCGGACTCATGTTAATAACGCCCTACGGTAGGTAATAACCAGAACCTGATTCAGACATCAGCTTACTCTTCTACTGTCATCAATTTAGTATAAGAAATAGATTACGTAGCCCCAGCTTAAATCCCTGAACATGGTTTACGAAGTTTGACATTTTACTGTCACTCTCACGATCTTAACCGTTGAACCTCATATTATAGCAAAAACATCAGAACAGAGCGACTGCTTGAATCCCACTCCCACTACCCACAAAACCACTCAACAGCCCAGGCGCGGCTAAACTTTTGTGTTTTGGAGATGAATGATATAAAAGATTAGCAGAGCATGCACAATTTATTTTCTGTCGCACCACTCACTCGTTATCTTTTTTTTTTTTTTGCCCCCGAGAGAACATTAAGGAAATAATTTCGAAGAATATTCTGCATCACTGGTATGGCAATCTGTAGAAGTGTGACGTGATTATCCAATTACACACTACAAAAAGATTGGATCGTAAAAAATTTTACAGTGTGGCGGACGCAAATGATCACAACACATGAATCTTACATGGACGAGCTCATAAATTACTATAAGAGGTCAGAGCTGTTTCACTTTAAGCCATGTTAATTGAAAGTACAATTGTATGCTCTAAATGTGGCCAGGATCATTAAGGATCCTGAGCATCAGATTGGAAGTTAATAATTTGAGAAACCACGAGCTTAGATAATTCACTGATTGCATCTTGAAACTGATAATCACCTGACTCCCTGTGCCCCGTCCATCTTGGCGAATGTAGCGTTAATCCACTGTATTCGCCTGCAGCAACCTTCGTTTTCCTTGAAGTGGCAAGGACCTTCTCCAAATCCGACTGTGACAATGGCCTTGGTGCCTAAAACATTAAAGACAAAGCATCTCAGTAATATTCAATGATCAATAACACAGCACTTCTTATTCTGAGACAGCCGCAATGATGACCATTATTCTCTTCCTATTTCTTGACATCACACACCAAAGAAACACCAAAGGAAACAGGTTGTTGTGAAAAAAAATGCTATATAAAGAATGAAAACCCGGTTGAAATAATATCTAAAGATTTGTTCAAATCCAACAGATTATTTAAAGCTTTGAAAAGTTTATATGAGAAGCAGAAGCATAAACAATTATGACATTCTTTCGCTAAACAGAGATACTCCTCAATCAAGAAGAGAGTCAGAAGAGAGTGATGAGATTACTCACAGGAGACTGTTTCCCTTTTCTCTCTTCATCTAGTAGGTCCCTAACTGGGAAATAAGCAGCTTTCTTGCAGAGTTCAAATAAATCTGAACCTGTATAACCCTCACACAAGCCAGCTATGTGATCAAAGTCAATGCCGTCTTCAATTCTCTCACCCTTCAAGATAACCTTTAATATCTCAACCCTCTCCTTTTGATCCGGAACTCCAATTTCAAAGGCTTGAGGAAGACGCCGAAGTATGGCTTCATCAAGTTCTGAAGGACGATTAGTTGCTGCAAGGACCATCACTCGAGCATTTTCTATTTTAAAAAAAGAATATTAACATTATAAACCCTAATCAAGCATATATAACTTGAGAATAGTAAGTATATCTATGCAACAAGACTGACGTAATATTAGTCATATGTTTTAGATATTTTGTCCCAAAAAAATAATTGAATGAAGATCTTCAAGAGACTCACGGTCTGTGGTGAATCCGTCCCACAAGGACATAAACTCAGTTTTCATGTTTAATAATGCCTCATGATCGGTTGAACGGCGTTGACCAAGAAAACTGTCAACTTCATCAATGAATATAATGGCAGGCTGGAGCTTATAGGCCAGGCTAAACACAGCTGCCACTGCAAAAGAAAATAAAAACATTAACAACAAAACAAACCAAATAACCAAACTTCAAATGAAGATTCAGCACATAAATGCGATGAAGCAAACATTAATGCAAAAGATAGTTATTAATATAATTTAATAAAAAAATCAAAGATAATAGTTCTCCAGTTCGAAGAATACATGCAACAGAAAGAGGATAAGGTTGGAAAAGTGAGCAGCCTATCGAGCATGAAAATGGAGTAGGGGAGAATGTGAGGTGGAGGGACATGTAATGAAGTACAAAAGACTTCTTGAAGTAGTTTTTTATGCCGAAGTTATGTAAGCGGAGGCTAAAAGAGAATAAGGTAAGCAGAACTTTAGTGAGGATTTGGGCAAGTGCCTGGTGCCATCAAAGCTAGGATATTTTCTTTCTCATGCGTCTAATTTTCTCTCTCTTCTTTATTACAGGGCTGCATCTCTGTTTAGATAGAAAGTAGGGGTTCCACAAGTCAAGCTTAGTTATCAATGCAAAATATTCATCAAGGATCAGCCACCCAATGCTCACTTACCAAGTTTTTGAGCATCACCAAACCACTTGCTCATCAGGTTTGATATCCTCACATTAATAAAAACAGCTCCAGACTCTTTTGCTATAGCTTTGGCAAGCATAGTTTTACCAGTTCCAGGGGGACCATACAATAGCACCCCTTTCTGCGGTCCAAGAAGCTTGCCATGAGAAAACAGCTCTGGTCGTTTAAGAGGCAGTATAACAAGCTCAAATAAAGCTTGCTTGATCTTTTCCAACCCTCCAATGGAATCAAACTCCACATCCATGTCATCAGGATTTATCACATCACAAGCAATAACATCCTGTAGACAAAAAAAGGGTACAAAATTAGATAAATTTGACTCTTCACGGAAAATATAGGGAATCCTCTTCCATCAGAAATCAGGCCCTACTATTGTATAAACATGGAATAAGAACTAACAATTACTTATGTTCAAAATTATTTCTACACAATCGTACCCAAATAAAAAAAATAATAATTAAAAAAAAAAAAACTTCTTTTATGATAGAAATTGGTCAATATAGGTAAAAAACTAAGTGCTAGAGAAGAGGGCGGTCTCTCTATAATTTATTGGGGTCTGGAAATGACAAGATAATATCAGTGCCGTCATCAAATATCTGTTCAAAATCAGAGCTAACTACACACAAGCACATTGTTCCACCTACTAATATATCACCCAGATACATTAAGCTGCTATGTGAAGACCGAGGACCAATTCTGTCTATAAGACCACCTTCGAAACACTACAAATACACTATCCACTGCCACTAATAGCGTATTCTTTACTACCAAAGCAACTGGCAGTCGCTCTCAAAGGTGACAAGTGCAGCAAGGGTTTTCATGAAAACATTTCTATGATCAACCATATGAAAGCGAGAGTATGGAATAGGGACCATGAGATGGAAGGGAATAAATATCATATTTTTATCGTTACCATCTAAAGAAATCATAAGGGAAAAAGCATCGCTCAAAGCTGATAGAATACCGATTATTGTAGGATAGCGGGTTTTGGGAGGGTTAGAGAAATATTAGGAATAAATATTCATTTAATTTAAATTATTTTAGATATTTTCTATTTTATTCAGGTTATTTTCTGATTTTTTAAGTAATCCTCAAGTTTAAGAGTAATGGGTTATGATATTTGCAGATTGAGTTAGTAATTTTATTTATTTATCTATTATCTAGGTAGTTATTTCCCATTATCTGAGTTGTGGATTATGATAGTATTTTTAGGAGTCATTAGTTATCTTTCTGTCTATAAATATTAAGTTTCACCTCATGTAAAAATGATCATTGAGAAATAAAATGTTATTTGAATTAATTGGAAATTGTCCATTGATTTGGTTGCTCAGGATGTGTAGAGTGAAATTCTTACTTTATTCATTCTTAATAGAATTTATTCCTAACTTCTGAGGTTTATTGAGTGAGAACCTTGCTTGAGAGATCCAGTAGAGTGTTACTGTTATTATTCCCCCAACAAAAGCCCATAAGAATAAACAAAAAAAAGCAACCTACTCAGACATCATGTATGTTTTACAAATCAAGAGCAAGATCAAAAAGCGGCCTACGAATTAGAATAGAATTCAAGATTAAAAATATCCTCGCTACTTTTACTGCATTAGTATTGCGCTGATAGTTGGTATTGTTGATAGCCTCCTTCAGCATATCACAGGCTATTTCAATCACTGGTGCAGAGACATGGGACATGACAATCACAACATAACAAAGTTTTATAAGCATCCAAATGCAACTGAAAGTATCCACGCGTGTGTCTGTGTATTGTTTATGTCAAGATGGTTTAAATCTTAGACCACTATCGACATCCCACCCTACTTTTACCACCCCAGGTGGCTTGAAAGTATCCACGTACTATGAACAGTCAGATGCAAGTTAGACTCCAGTCCTTTTTACGAGCGTTTGGGTTTCATAGGTATTTTCGCTATTCGTGTTATTAAGATCCAATGTCAAGTCTCTCTAGTGGAAAAGGTACTCATATTTAGTGTTTAACAATGCTTCAAATATTATTTATCGCTAATAGATGATACCCATGTTAGAGTAAAAATTGTCAACTAATACCAGCTTATTTCAAGTTTTTCCACAAAAAAAAAAATGGATTCGTTGTGATTAACAGCTGTCAACAAGGGAATATGCCAAGAAAATGGGTAAACATGCGCAATATACTATCTTGGTTCATAGTCATAAGATCTCGTTTATATTTTCATTCAAAAGTCCATCTTCGCCATTGATGTTCAGAAATTATGTGGCTCAAAAACTGAAAAATATTATGGAAAAAAATAATCAATCAGTCATAGCAGTGACATTTCCTTTGCAGGGTCCAAATTTTTTTCCTTTTTATCTAGAAAGCACAAGGAATATGCACCGAGTAGACAATGACACATTTATTAGGTTAATATAATTTTTAGTTTCTTAAATTTGTTCTCATTTTGATTTAGATTTTTCAAGTTTCAAATCATAGGTTTTAGTCTCTCTACAAACAAAATGGTTCAAATTTTTATTAAATTATAAAAACTAATATTTTAAATAAAAATAACTTGAGGGACCAAAACCAAAATGAGAGCAAATTTAAAGTATCAAAATTTGTATTAACCGTTTGTTTTTTTATATCACTATTTTAAAACAGTAAGTCGCCCTAACTAATCATAAAAGGCAAGCAAAATGCGGTTGTCTTCGGACCATAAAATTGAAGAGCATGCGATTCTCTCAAACGAAAGGGTCATTTCGAGCACTTTCATCTTCTGAGTCGTGACAAGTTGACAACGATTTCTAGAGGTGCAGGGGCACATTCAGTCGTGATTAATTATTTAATCCACTAAGGTTGACAACAAAAAAAATTTCATAAATAACTCTCTTTTCCCCCCCAAATTCATTGATAAGTCGAACATTTTTTTTTTTTTTTTTGGGAGAAATGAGGGGAAAAAAACTCTTTTTTTATAAGGATAGTGCTTGGTGACGTGTCTCTGACTCTTTTTATCCCAACAATCAGAATTTACTTTTGTTGACGATGATATAATTTTTTTTTAATTAAGCAACCCGAATCCTTTTGTTGCTGCCAGAGACCCCCAATAAACATTATTGCTTTTATATTAAAAAAATAAAAATCCTCATCAACCAGACCGGACAGTGAAAATTCGGAGCTGCTAGTTGCTGATTATTATAATAATAAAATATAAAATTATAGTACCACTTGTAATTTATTAAGAGGATTTTACGCAATTTGTGTTTTAAGAATGAGGCTCTGTTCCTCGTTAAAAAAAAAAAAAAAGGTCCTAATTTCATTAAAAAGAAATTATAACAGCACTCTTTCTTCATCTCAAAGTCAGTAATGACTTAAGGTCATCGAAATTAAGATTAAAGTATGTAATATTTCAGTACTGAAACATTTCATAATTTCCTAAGATTAAAGAAATTATGTTTTTTGGCTGATTCCATGTATTATATATTTGATAATTAAATAAAACAGTAAGGTGTTTTATAAGTTATAAATATCACTACTAATTCACCAGCTGTTAGTTTAATTAAGAACAGAGTCATTTCATGTTACAACAAGAAAGTAGCAGTTTGTGAATGAAGAGAGACAAGAAAGTTGGAATAGAGTCCCACCAGCACCAGGCATTGTGCTTTATCTGAAACCAGAATTGTATTCCTCGTTTTGTGGTTCGCTGGAGATTTTAGTGCATGGGTTGATCATTGAGGGCTAACCCTTTCAAAATATTCTTATGATTATTGGGGTGACCCTTGGAGCCATCTTTCACCCTCTATAACTGACGCCAATCCGCCACCACACAAATGACCATCCAACCAAAAAGGAGATACCTGCAAGATCGCAACTAGTAACCGCCCTCCCCCCTCCCCCCCAAAAAAAAAAGGCCTTTATTCTATGTTTTCTATCGATATTATTCCTTCACGTGTTTGCTCTCTAATCTTTCCACCCACCCACTTCCCTCTCTCCAGGCTTTTCATTGATTCCTATGTACTGCTTAAATTATCATTTTGAATCGAGAATTACTGATCAATTAGGAGCCGAAGAAAAAAGGCGACTTGGATCTGAGGTCGATCACAATAGGAGCAAGCATTGCGGTTTAAAACATTACTAATAAAAATAGGATTAACAAAATTTTTGGCACGTGAATTTGGGTCCATTTTGATCTTAGTCGTTTATATTTTTAAATCCGTGCTTTTAATTTTACAAAATTTAATTTAAAATGTTAGTCCTAGAAGTATAACAAAGTTAAAATCTGATAAAGTGTCATAAATGACATTAAAATGGTAGTATGGACTTACCAAATCATACCTAACTGGCGGGTAGTAGGGGGAAAAACAAAAGTCCTCAAAACGCAAAGCAAAGATCAGAAGAGAATGAGTTCTCAAAATGTACTAATGTAGTACAATGAACAACTGTTCAGACAAATAGCTAGAAAAAAAGGTTAAATAGTTATGTTTCGAGGACTTTTTTTTCATTTTTATCCATAAAAATACTTAAAAAGTTATTTCCATTTACGTGTTGCAATATTCTCTTATTTAATTGTATTCAGTTTTCTCAGCTCTCACTCTTCACGTACAAATCAGAACTCCTTTTTTTCTTTTGCCATCATTTAGTTTTTGTTTTTTTTTTTGGGTTATTAATTGTAAACAAAAGGATAAACGCACCTAATACCTAAAACCTAAAACTTACATCAGCAAACATAGATAAAAAACCTATACAGTCTGAAACTAGCAATTTAGTGCCATATAAGTGCCTAAAGAGCCTTGGATAATCTTCTGCAAATTCCAGTCATGAGAGCAGATTAAGAGGCTGAAATTAGAGGCAGCTTGAATCTGTGTTTGATTGATGCTGAATAACAGTACTTGGCAAAGCAGGGAGAAAATGATGAACCAATTTATAGTTCTTTTTTTTTTTTTTTACTTGGACTCGAAAATGCCTGAAAAAATAACCCTCAAAAGACAAAGTAAGTAATAGAAAGTATCTTCTCACCATGAAACCACTTCCTCCTCCAGTCGGATACACTACTACCAAAAAAAAAAATTTAACGGCAGTTAAAATGAGTTTTACGAAGGTTTTGATATCAACGTTTATACCATCAACGTAAATATAGAGGATTTCATATCGGTTTAAAAACCATCATGGTATGTGATTTTTCACAGCGGTTATATAAATAACGGCTGTTGTGAAAAGTTTTTTTGGTCTACGTTTCACCCTATTGATCAGGATGGAACGAAAGAACAAAGTCTCAAAAGAAGAGATCTGAAAATCAATTAACCAATAATCTCTCACCAGTTAAAAGCATTCTGATGGAGCAAACGTAAATTTTTTCTCACAGTAATAGCGCTACTTAGCTTCACCTTCAACCACCAGATCGAAGTCACTAAAATTTAATAAAAATAAAATCAAAGACTCAGATAGGATAAAAATCAGATCTTTTTAAAACCCAGATTAAACATCATATTTTTAGCCAAAGGAAATAATTATATCAAACCTCAAAAACTATGAAATCCACAGAAAGAATGGATGTGAAAAACTCACAAGTAAGAATGAAGAGGATGAGGCAATGGCGACAGTGACAGTGATGGAAGAACGTGGTGGAGATTATGGAAGCAAAGGATAAACGCCGACAAAGCTAGGAGGAGGGAAAAAATCAAGTGAAGACAGTAATAAGGGACTATAAGCTTTGACTCTGAAAGTGAAAAACTATCACGATGAATTTTAAAATCTTGATGGACTTTTTACGATGGTTATTTAAAAAACCGCCTTTAAAAGCATGTTTATAATTACAGAGAATGCCACCGTCATATTTTTACAGTGTTTTTTCTAATAACTGCTGTAAATTAGTGTCGTAAAAACTCTTTTTTGTAGTAGTGATAGAAAGATCGACCAATTTAAAGATGGCATATTCTTTTATTTAGTTAAAATACTTTTTTCCTTCACTTATTTAGTTAAATCAGAATTCTTTTAAAAACATCATTTTTTTTCAAAAAATAAATAGACTGTACTGATCCACCTTAAATTTGTCATCAAACGTGCTAGAATGACTGCTCTAAGGTACTATTGATTATTGATTATATTCCTCTGTGTCATTTGTCAAATACACAAGTACATATGTGCAATGAATCAAATTGTTGGCCAAAAAAGTACGATGAATCAAGTTCAATAAAATAAACTGACCTTCGATGATTAATTTATACCACCTCCCAATTCCTGTATCCCAACACCCCCGTCGGATCGCATTCGATTCATCATCTGTGTCTTATTTGCTTTGTGATTTTCAGTTTTATATTGTTAGATAGTCCGCCTTTCAAGTGTCCCTCCATCATTATTTCTTCCTATAATGCCGTTTATACTCCAAGATTCATTTTTAATACTAAATCTGCTACTTAATACAAGAACCCGTTTGATTTTTATTTTAATTCTAAATATAGATCTCATTTACTTTATCTTTCATATTTATTTATTTTTTTCTAAGACAATCCTTGTAATAATAATAATTTTAGTTAATACACTTTGTTAGCAAGATATTTTAGAAAAGATAAAAATTTGTTATTATAAACAGTAATTTAACTAATTTTCTTAATCTACTCAAATTAATCAACTAGTTCTTATATTAAGAACAAAGATAATATTATGATTGTTGACAAAAATACAACTAGCTCTAATTCTTATTATAAAAGTTAAATGACTAATTTGAATAGATTAAGAAAATTAATTAAGTTAGTTATTTCTAATAAATAGGTGTGATTTTTTTTTTAAATATTTTTACTATTTATGTATATTAGAACTATTATTTGATGAAATTTTTATATGTACAATTATATAAATATATCTTTAAAAATATAGGTAAATATGAGAGATAATATAAAGTAAATATTATATTTAGAATCAAATTGAATATTAAATTAATTTTATATTAAGGGAGTATTGGAGGTTGCACATCGAAGTTGGAATGCTTGGAAGGAAAGAAGTAAGAACAAACGCACTTGCCTTGCAATGTTTTCCAACGACTTTGAAATTTCAACCTCACCCACCTCTCCTTTTCTTTGAGTCAACGCGCTACATTTTAAAATTTTAATCAATAACTCGCAGCCGAACATGTGTTCAAATTATCAAATCCGTGGAGCCCTAGTTGGAAGTGGGTTCAATGCAGTACAAAATCCTAAAATTCGTTATAATTCAGGCTCTGTTTCTGTGTAGTACACCACCATGTTGTCATTTGCAGTACAACGGTCCTCCCTTCCCTTTTGTGAAGTATTTAATGTGCCATTAATGGCGATTGTTTCCACGGTCATCTTGATTCGACGTATGATCCATCGACCCGTTTGTGGGTTTCGTCGAATTCCCTCTCATCTGGTCGGATCGCCAGGCCCAATACCAGTCCGTTCGTTTCGCGCCGTTGCTTCTGGCGTTGCTGCTTCCTTCCATCTTCAAGCCAAACACTGAAGACTGCGTCCATAAAACACTCAGGCCCTTCTCACGAGGAGGATGCAATCTTCTGGATCGAATACTAGTAAGATATTTTAATGGAGGATCTATCTCTTTTTTCGCGTTGGATTATGTAATATCTGAACCTTTCGCCTTTCGGTATCGTCGTAATTACTTTTACTCTGTTTTTAATTTCAATTTATAATACGGCACTGTCGCTGTCTTTTTAGATTTAACTGTTTTATTATACAATTTTTAATCATTTCATCCAATCAAATTACAAATGCCTAGACTTTAAGATGATTAAACAGCTACTGTTGCTATGGAGTTTTACTTGACCCATCAATTTCCCCAGTTAATTTTGTCTGAATAATCTATCAAACCGCTTTGAACAGACCATGTGATGTCTGAAATGGCGACTATTCACAACGAAGGGCCCAGAGAAATTGAGAACTTCGATAAGGAAGAAGAAGCACAAGAGGTTCGAGCTGAGCCAGAGGACTTAACCAGAATAGCTCCATGGAGAAAACAGATTACGGTACGAGGACTTATAGCAAGCTCAGTGGTTGGAATAATTTACAGTGTGTGATAGCGACGAAGCTGAATCTTACAACCGGACTCGTCCCAAACCTCAATGTCTCAGCTGCTCTGTTAGGCTTTGTTTTCATTCGAGGTTGGACCAAGCTTCTCGAGAAGGCCAAGATAGTTTCAACACCTTTCACCAGACAAGAGAACACTATAATTCAGACTTGTGCAGTTGCATGCTACAGCATTGCAGTAGGAGGTAGAGATTTTGACTTCTTAGAATTCTCTGCTTTAACAATATGCACTGTGTCTACATGCTTAATAGTGATATTATAGGTGGTTTTGGGTCGTACCTATTGGGGTTGAATAGGAAGACGTATGAGCAAGTAGGGGTTGATACAGAAGGGAACACTCCTGGGAGCACCAAGGAGCCTGGACTCGGTTGGATGACAGGTTTTCTCTTTGTCACCAGCTTTGTTGGGCTCTTTGCTCTGGTTCCTCTTAGAAAGGTGCTTATGTTTCTGTCTTTTTGAACATGACGTTCAATATGTGGAAAAATAAAGTGTTGGGCGATGCAGATTCTGATATTGTAACTCGTGACAGATCATGATCATAGACTACAAATTAACATACCCAAGTGGAACTGCCACTGCTGTTCTTATCAACAATTTCCATACTCCTAAAGGAGATGGAGAGGCCAAGTATGGTTCTGTACTTTAACTTCTGTCACTTGATTATTCTTTTTCTCCTTCTAATCAGTGTGAATCTGTACTGTTACTAAAAGGGCTTCAAAACTTATGGCAGGAAGCAGGTTCGAGGTTTCATGAAGTTCTTTTCGTTCAGTTTCATCTGGGCTTTCTTTCAGTGGTTTTATACTGGTGGGGATACATGCGGATTCGTGCAGTTTCCTACTTTTGGATTGCAGGCCTGGAAGAACTCGTGTGTGCTTCCATCTTTTCTTCTGCTCTGCTCTAATTTTATAATAAGTGGGTGTTTGGAACGAGTCTGCGTTGTATTGACTAAAGCTTTTCGAATTATGCAGATTTTACTTCGATTTCAGTATGACTTACGTTGGAGCAGGAATGATTTGTTCTCATCTGGTGAACTTATCGTTGCTTCTTGGTGCTGTGCTTTCGTATGGGATTATGTGGCCCTTGATCAAGGGACTCAAAGGGGAATGGTACCCTGCAAGTTTATCAGAGAGCAGCATGAAGAGTCTAAACGGATACAAGGTCTTGAATTATATATAATCAGATATATAATCCATATCAAGTTCATTTAACATCATTCCTCTTTTTTTTTTTTTGTCATTTGCATGCCACAGGTTTTATTTCAATTTCATTGATACTCGGTGATGGTCTTTACAATTTTGCCAAGATTCTCTACTTCAATGCTAAAAATATCTATACCAGAATGAGAAGCAGAAACCTTCAAGTTTGTAAGTAAATCTAATCTTTTCCTAGTTCTACAGCTAACGTGTAATTACTTATCACGTAAAAATTAAAATATACTCTTCGATTTTTAATGTAGGAATTAATTTCAGAGTTAATATTAATCTTATATATATGAACTATTTTTACATGTTTATTAGTTTTTTTTTCCAAATTAACACGGTTGGTATTTCTTAATAATAATCAAATAGGAGATGAAAGAAAAGGGGGAATTAAAGAAGATAACTAAAGTGTTTTTAAAAAATAATATATTAACTAATTTAACTAATATCTTTAATCTACTCAAATTAGTTAATTAATTAATTTTTCATAATTTTTTAATCACATGCGCATAATTTATTCCCCTTTTACATTTGAGGGGCAATCTTTCTTACTGTTTAAGGTTTTTGTAAATATCCTTTTATTGATGATAGTTTATTTTTTTTAAAAAAATTCCTAGTCACTCAAAAAACCCAATTCTGATTTGTAATTTTTTTCTGGTCAAAGCAGGTTCGGACAATCACCGAACACAGCCACGGAATGATCTGAAACGAAACGAAGTGTTCTTGAGAGAAAGCATTCCGATGTGGGTGGCCTGCGCCGGATACCTATTCTTCGCTGTAATCTCCACCATCGCCGTCCCTCTCATGTTCCCTCAGCTGAAGTGGTACTTCGTAATTGTCGCCTATCTCCTCGCCCCTGCTCTCGGCTTCTGTAACGCTTACGGCGCCGGCTTAACCGACATCAACATGGCCTACAACTACGGCAAGGTCGCTCTCTTCATTCTCGCGGCCATGTCCGGCAAAAAACGGACGGCGTCGTCGCGGGCTCATCGGCTGCGGCCTCATCAAATCAATGGTCTCCATATCATCAGATCTAATGCACGACTTCAAAACCGGACACCTTACCTTCACTTCTCCTCGATCAATGCTCCTGACACAAGCCATAGGCACATCCATCGGATGTGTGGTGGCTCCTATGTCTTTCTTCCTGTTTTACAAGGCCTTTGACGTGGGGAATCCGGACGGTGAATACAAAGCACCATATGCTCTTATATACAGAAACATGGCGATTCTTGGAGTTGAGGGCTTCTCTGCGTTGCCACACCATTGCTTGGAGCTGTGTTACGGGTTCTTCGCGTTCGCCGTGGCGGCCAATTTGGTGAGGGATGTTAGCCCTAAGAGGGTGGGGCGATGGGCGCCGCTTCCGATGGCGATGGCAGTGCCGTTTCTGGTGGGGGGTTACTTTGCGATAGACATGTGTGTGGGGAGTGCAGTGGTGTATGCGTGGCACAAGATGAACAGTAAAGAGGCAAGTCTGATGGTACCGGCGGCGGCGTCGGGTTTGATTTGTGGGGATGGGTTGTGGATTTTGCCTTCTTCGATTTTGGCCCTGGCTAAAGTTCGTCCTCCGATATGCATGAGCTTTTCTCGAGGCAGCTAACTAGCGAAGTAATAGTAATTAAATTCCAGTTTCACTGGAAACCTTGTACACGTAGCTGTGGTTTGTACCCTGCATGCTATGCCTATAGCTTAACCCATATCTAAGAGGGATGTGTTTTTGGCCCAAAATAATGCAGATCATAGGTGTTTGTAAAGATTTTTGGTTAGTAACATTTTAGACGAACATCCATGAATCTTCTCAATTTTCATCAAGGAAAAAAAAAGAAGGGACTGGACTGACCAGTTCAACTAGAAAACCGGTGTACTGGTTTGCAGTCCGGTGTGGTTCAGTAAATGGACTAAAGGCTAAGCAAATCGGTAAAAAAACTAGTTGAACCGGTATAATCGGTGTGGAATTGGGCAAATCTGGTTGGCTAGTCCTTTTTTTTTTTTGTCTGGCGCAAAACGCATAGCTTCAAAAATCCAGATCCTCAAATTAGTCCATCACTATTCATTCAACCATTTCCTTCAGCTTCGCCATTTTTGTTCCTCCCCCAGACTAAAAATCCCTAGCCAAAATCAATCCTCACTGTAGCGGTTGTTTTCTTCGCTGTCGGAGGCCGCCGATCTTCGCATGATGTCGTGGTCAAAGCAACAGGTCGTCGTTCTCGATTCTTCGATCAGATTTGCTAGTCACCGGTTGCAGCAGCAGCTCGTCACTCCCCATCACATTTCTTCTTCACGGTGGTAACCATTGTCGCAGCTTGAGATTCTTCCTTCTCTGCTACTTGTTTTCAGCTTCCATGGTCGTGTTGTCCGGTTCATTGGGTTATTTTCTTTCAACTCAATGTGCTCTGTTTTTTTCCTTTCTTCATCTTGCTTCTATTGTTCCAGGCTTTGGGTGTGAGTGATATACTGATATGAAATCTGATTATCTGAATTTGATATTTGAGTGATATACTGATCTTTGTTTGTAGAATCTCTTTATTATTACAGATCATTAAATTTAAAAAAAACAACAGAGAAGTCCTCATTTTGTCAAGTCGAGGGAAGATAGGATGGAGATAAATGCATCTAATGTAATTCTTTTCGTAAGAAAAGCATCCTGCCCACATTTATTTTAAAAAAACATCCTGCGGCAATTTTGGCATAAGTTTTTTTTCCCCTTTTCCAGATAGCGAGATACTAGAGTGTAGATGATATGAGGAGTTTTAAAATTGCAACAGTAGCTCGTCACTCCCCATCGCATTTCTTCTTCACGGTGGTAACCATGTCGCAGCTTGAGATTTCTTCCTTCTCCTCTACTTGTTTTTAGCTTCCATGGTCGTGTTGTCCGGTTCATTGGATTATTTTCTTTTCAACTCGATGTGCTCTGTTTTTTCCTTTCTTGATCTTGCTTTTGTGTTCCAAGCTTCGGGCTGTAAGTGATATATTGATATGAAATCTAATTATCTGAATTTGACATTTGAGTGATATACTAATCTTTGTTTGTAGAATCTCTTTAATTATTACAGATCATTAAATAAAAAAAAACAGAGGAGTCCCATTTTTGTCAAGTTGAGGGAAGATAGGATGGGAGAGAAATGCATCTAATGTAATCCTTTTCATAGGAAAAGCATTCTGCCCACATTTATTTAAAAAAAAAAAAAGCATCCTGCAGCAATTTTGGCATAAGTTCTCCCCCCTTTCCAAATAGCGAGGTACTGGAGTGTAGATGATATGAGGAGTTTTAAATTTTTTCCCCTTGAATCAAAACATTTAAACACTTTTATAACTTCTTATTTTTTTCGACTGATTATATTTATAAATTTTGTTTTATTTAATGTTATGAATTAAATTATATTAGTTTAATATGACTAGTTTGATCCTGATCTGACTTCTGGTCTGACCAGTGACCCTTGACCTACTGTCTTGACTAGTTGAATCCCCGGTCTGGTTTTTTGTTCTTTGAATTTTTCATCGTTCAGATAGTATGATTGGATCATGATTTACATCATTCTTATAGAGAGAGGTGTGCAAATGCAGCAAGGTAATATGAGTGGGGATTGGTGACTTTTTCTTAGTCGAAATAAACTTACCAAAGGTCAGATTGCACAGTTAATGAATAAAGACTTAAAAAAAAAAAGAAAAGGAAGACATAAAAATGCAATAAAAGTTGAGCTTCACTTTGTTTAACAAAACTTGTAGTATGTTTTACGAAAATTTCACATATAAATTAATGTCAATGCCAATCATAATATCAATTTAATATCTCTTTAATTAAATCCAAGGCAGCAAAAAATGTCATAACAACTAGATGTAGAAAGAATGAGTCGCAATTTTTTTAGTGCAGGTGGCTTACGAAGCAGCTCAAAAGACGCTAAAATTCGCAGTAATATTCATAAACAAATATTAGTACTCTATTAATTAATTGAAAGCATAATCAGAATGTTCTAGTATTTCAGATTTTATGCTTGGTGAGCACTGATCACACGCTTCTTCAAGTCTGTTTCTCTATTTGATTATGATTGAGGGAGTATCCATAGGGGTAATTTAGAGAAATTGATAAATATGAGAAATGAGTCTTATATTTAGGACCAAAACTAACTCAACAATTAGGTCATATATTAAGGACCGGAGGAGTAAATCATTTTTTATAACTTGATTTGATTCTAAGTAAAAATTAATTTGATAATATCTAGAGCATCTAATATTTACTTTCTTATGTTATTGGTTAAAGTACACATTTAATTCTTTAAGTTTATAGAGAATTTTATTTTGATCCCATTAGCTTGAAAAAATATACTTTTCGTCATTTAATTCTAAAATTTTTAATAAAAAGTGATGACATTAAGATCTTAAAGTTAATAAAACATTTTCAAATACTAACTTATTAAATTTAATTTTCAAAATAATGATGATTGTTACTAAAAATTATCATTTTAACATAATTTTATGCTTAAAAGACTAAATGTATACTTTTTAAAATCAATCGACTAAAATTGAAGCTCTATACAAAAATTAAAAGACCAAATATATATTTTAATTCATTTAAATTAATCGTGCTATTTTTTTTTTTGCTTCGCACCCACGAGTGATTGCATCAAACTTATAGCATAAATGGAAGAAGTAAGCCATGAACAATCTTATTTTATCGGATGTGCCTGGAGGGAGAGCAAGTCGTGAACAGTCAATTTTATGAGGACATTGTAATTGGTTTTGAATTGTCTATTGGACATGATATAGCGATCCATCATTGTCACTGTAGCTCATGGACCCTTTAAAATCTTTGATGGACTACCATGCTTTCTAATTTTGTATATTATGGACCACAATTCACACTTGGCCCCATGGCTAAATAAGTCCAGCCTAGTGGTACCCCACTAGTCTTCACATCTTAAGTCTGTCTCGTGCTCCATATTTTTAAAATAATTTTTATATATTTAAAAATAAGTTATTATATTTAAATTTTATTAAAAAACATAAATTGCTTTATTCTTGGTTATAACCATAAACAATAGTTAATTAAGTATTTAGATATTTATGATATTTTCATGTATTTTCATGAACATTCCCTAGAAATTATCTGCATTTTTTTTTTGGCAAACTACCTAATCAAAAATAGTTTTTTTCTTTTTAGATTATTTTTACTCCTATATATATTATTTTTCTTTCATTTTCATATGCGCCTCGCGCATTTGGACGGAGCAAGTAGTTTAGGTCGGAGATGAGCCCGCCGGCTCATAAATGCGTGATAAAGTTTCGGGGAACCCACCGTTTTCTGAAAGCCGTGGATCAGTCATTTAGTCCCAAGGCTTTAAGTTTTGTGCTTTTCTGTATTCATGATCTTTAGGCGTTAATAATGGGTAAAACCTGTTCATATCAGGTTATCATCTACAACGATGAGGAAAATCCATCCAGTAAAATTTCTATATTTGGACATTTTAATTGCCAGGAAAGCTTGTTATTGTATTTATAAAATGATATTTATCCAGCGTGCATCATCATCTGTTACAATTTTTTATTTAAATTTTTTGTCAATAAAGTAATCGTTTCCATGAGATGACTAAAGCATTTATCATTAGATTCTGAGTTTATTTTTACTGGGATGATTAAAAAAAATACGTAATTTAATTTTGTAGGCAACAATATCATCGGAAATTCAATTTACTTTTACATGTGGATTGTTTTTGAAGTTGAATTAGAATTTAGAACTCCATAAAATAAATTCCAACCGCCACATTCCCTCCCAAGTCCGAACAAAACTGTGCTATTTGTGCTTTTATAGGTCAAACTAATATTTTTTCACTCGATTTATAATTTCAAGCATAGAAAAGCCTAAGCAAGTATGAGTATTTGTACTAAATTAATTAATTAACTAATTAACTAATGGTGTGTTTTATTTTTTAAGGCAAAAAGGATACACTTGATCAATAGGTTATAATTTAAAAACTTTAATAAGTTATGTAGAACATGGCAGTAAAACAATTGCAGTGTTAAAAATTTTAATTACGATATTAAAGATTTTAAACATAAATATAATCCGATTCCTTTAACTCCACTCACCATGATTCCTCTGTTGTTTCAAACGGCAATAGATTTCCGATCAGTTTCACAGAAGTCTCACCATGAAAAGTGAAACTGACGTGATATTTTGACCATCCTCAGTGGCGAAACTACCCTTAGATTTAATGACCTACCTAGTGGCCACTTCTGTAATTTCAATGAACTGTGAGGCCATTTTATGACTATTCCGGAAGGCCACTTTGTGAATAAAGGCCTCGGTTTAATCGCCACTCTCACCAGTGAGCCTGTCAGTATTTTGACACCCGAAGGACGGAGAGAAAGGGAACGCTATCGAAGGAGAAAAGGTTCTCTCTGGTATATCTCAAGTTAAACAATTTGCCGACCTATTCTTTGTTGTTCTGGCTCATGGATTCTTATGCTTTCATGCATGGAAGAACAAGAAATTGCTGTTCAGCTTTTGAAATCCTCTTTTGGCCTGATGGATAGTTGTTCCATTTCGGCCGATTTTTTAGATCCTCCTTTCCTCCATGTGATTTTTTGTGGTTTTGACTTCGTTTTTTTCTTGATTCTGAGTATATTTTGGTTTGTTGTAGGTGGCTGTTGAAAAATGGCTTCAGATCCAAAAATTCACTCATTCGAAGAAGTGGCGAAGCACAATCAAATCAAAGATTGTTGGCTTGTTATATCTGGAAAGGTCAGAATCCAGTACGATTTTTCTCGTGCATGTTTAATTTTATTGCACTGACTGATGCTGAGAAAAAGGAGGAATCAGTTGGAAAAGAAAAATTCTTCAGCATAATGCGTCTGCATGCTTTTGTTAGTTTTCCAGTTCAAGAATTATGCATATATATATATAATGATTTGGCTGTCTTGCTAAACTCAATATATTTAAATCTCTGATATCCCGTGATATCTGCATATTATGGTGTTCACTTGATTGATTCAAGGAGATACTCATCCTGCATGTGCATTTTTAGTTTTGCACCAGCTCTAATTATGTATGACATTAAAGGAGACGTTTGGTGCTTGACATTTCACATCATTATGTAATATATTTTTGTATATGGGATTGACGTTATCGTCGTCATCTTGGATGCCTGGGAATCCAAGATCTTCACATTTTTTGTTCCCTTTTTGTAATTTGAACGTTTCTAGCATCTTATTCAATGATACTGATATTTGGATATCCCACTTACTGATGAAAATATCAACCGAACCACCCAATGCCTCAAAAACTGTTCGGTGGAATGGAATCAGCAACGATGATAAGTCCTGTAGGGATAGTAGTATGATCTGCATGCATTTTTAAGGGAGCCTCTACATATGCATTAAGGATTTGTATGAACCTAAAAATTCGTCGAATACATGATAACAGCCCATGACATCCTGTTTTGTGGGAGATGTTTATGTTCCAAGCTTAATCAGCAGGGCATTTGGCAAATGTGTTATACAGGGGGATCTTCCTTCTGTATGTTGGCAACGTTGCTAGCCGCTTGTATTGGCACTTGCAGATATTAGAGAACCTCATTGTTCTGTATCTCTGCCTTACACTAACCCATCCAAACATTTCCTAATATGGTGTAAGAACCATATATGAATTCCCTTTTTGGCAAGAAATATGGTACAACGGGTATAGTACTTTGCCAAAGGTCACTTCACTATTGTAAGTTGTTTTTTGTATCCTTTTTTCAACTGATGCAAGTTAAGAAGATAGTTGAACCCAAATTTCTGCATAAGTTATCCTCTGGTGAAATATAATTTCCAAATCGGGGAAAAGAGAGAATCCATACTCATTGGGCCACAGGGCTGGTTGGGAGGGATGGGGAGCATTCAAGTCTCTACAGAGTTTGGGGAGGTGGATTTAAATAATTTATTTGCTAAACTCTGCAGAATGGCAGGCGTACCATCATCCCAGGGATACTAGTTATACTAGTTTGGAACATCAGTTTTATGATGCTATAACATTGACTACTGCCAATTAAATAATTTCAGTGCTTCCGTTAAACCAGGTGTATGATGTGACCCCTTTCATGGAGGACCATCCTGGAGGAGATGAAGTTTTGCTATCCGCTACAGGTATTCTTATTCCATTTCCTGAAGATTATAAACCTAGTTCACCATAATTAACTTTCCATGCACAATACAGGGAAAGATGCAACCAATGATTTTGAAGATGTAGGACATAGTGATTCTGCTAGAGAAATGATGGACAAGTACTGCATTGGTACTATTGATGTATCCACTGTCCCGCAAAGGCGGGTTTATGTTCCGCCTAAGCAAGCTCCTTACAATCCTGACAAGACCCCTGAATTTGTGATCAAGATTTTGCAGTTCCTGGTCCCTCTCCTGATATTGGCTTTGGCCTTCGCTGTCCGACACTACACCAAGAAAGAGTAGTCCTTCATCGCTTCCACTTGTAGGTGTCTCCATTCTCAATAGAGCCATTTTACACGACAGTGTTAATGTTTTTTTCCTAGTGTTCTTATCAGAAACTGGATTAAAGTTCATTAAGCCAATATTTGCGAACTTAATTTTGGCTGCAGTATTAGTGGCAATATGACTGAGGAGTCTGTTCTTGTTTATGATGAGAATATGTTATTTCCATTTTCCTTCGTTTTATTCTTGGCAAATTTAACCTACTAGCGTTTTTTCTATCACATAAACATGATTTAGTATTCGAGCAAAAACGATCACGTGTCAAGATAATGAGTAATATTATCAGTGAAAACCCATTCTATTAGTACTTAGCATACAAACAGAAGTACGCATATACTGTCTTCTAAATTTATTTTTGAAATTAAATTGTTAATTTAAAATCGAGCTATTTAACCTTTAAAATTGTATGAAAAATTGAAAATATTGTAAAAGTGGCAACCATAAGAACGGTAGTACATAGATTTGACGATGAAATTTATAAATTTTGAGTGAACTTAGCTAGGAGTTTAACATTCACTTGGCAGGTAATTGTCCAAATTGTAGGACAGTGGGGCATTAAAATCACGGTAGACGCTGATTCGGCTTAATCAATTTTTATTTTATATTCTAGCTTTATTTCTAACTGTCTGCAACTCCGGCGTGTTTGGAAACACCTATAAGTGTTTTTGAAAAGTATTTTTTTGTAAATCGAAACGAACTTTTTCATATATTTTTTTCGTATACTGTAAAATTACTTTTAAAATTATGATTTGGTTTATACCCGAACACCCCCTTTGTCTTTTTCATTCTTCCTCTTGAATAGGCACACACCCCTAAGTCCCTTATTTCATTTTATTTCTTTTTTGAAAACAGATATTGATATCTAATAGTATATTGAAAATGAGAAAAATGACCCTCCCTAAGTCGAACATTTTTACCTGCAGGATTTGCACTAATTCTGTGGCCACAAAAGAAAACCTCTTTTAAGAGAGAGAGCTTTCCTCTTCTTTGTCCTCGTTGCTCTGGTCAAGTTAAATCTTTAGAACGTCTTTTTTTTTTTTTTTTTTGCTTTTGTGATAAAGTTGCCCGGGTACTGGTTCTCATGTGCCTTTCCTATTAACTTGGATAGCCATGATAGGACTGGTTATTTGATTTGTTTGAGACAAGTTTATCCATAAAATCACTTTGATTCAACAGGCCCAGTGTGTAAGAAATTCTTTTAGGTAAAATTAAAAAAAATGGTTTGTTAACATTTAGCTCAATTTTTAATTTACGCTTCTTTAGTTTCAAAATTTTTTAAAACCCTTGTGACTTCTTTTTCGGATTAAAATATATACAATACTTTAAAATATTTTGTTACATGCATTCAACACTTTAAAATATTTGATGATACATCCAAAATCTTAATTTTACAGTGTTTTTTCTATGTACATCAGCACTTTAAAATATTTTGTGATGTAATTTTATTATTAAAATATTAATTTTTACAAGCCATTGGGCTTTTAAAGAATTATTTTATAAGCAACTTTAACTTTGTAGCTAACTCCTCAAAAAATTCATTAAATGGATGTATATAAAACACTATTAAATGTTTTTTCAATATTTTTTGAAATAATGGATGCATTAAAAAAATATTTTAAAATATTAAATAAGCTACAAAATATTTTAGAATATCAAGTGAAAAAATGTTTCAAGAGTGGGGATCTACCTAACAAAATATTTAATGTGATGCCCCCAAACCTTTCCTCTCGACTAGTTTCATCTGTTACGACGTCGATCCCGGCATTGTTTTTAAGATCAACAAACGTCACGCACGGTTTGACACTGTTTATACGAAAGCCACTACGGATTAACACGTGAATTGCCACATTGATATGCCTCCTATCCAAAGTAAAGGAAGTTCTTTTTCTCAATTTCTTTCTTTTTTTTCTTTTTAAATTTTCTTATTCGATATAAGGTTAATATAATATAATTTTTAGTCTATTAAATTTGTTCTTATTTTGATTTTACTCTCTCAATAGATAAAATAATCCAAATTTTTATTAAATTATAGAGACTAATATTTTAAATTAAAAAAATTGAAAAACTAAAACCTATCATGAAATTTAAAAGACCAAAACTAAAATAAGTGCAAATTTGAAGGATTAAAATTTATTTCTAAGTTTTAAATTTTGAAAAACCCAAATACGAACGTCAAGCCAAACACTAGGCCAATCTCCAGAGAAATCATTAAGTTACAAAGAAATTTGAACATTAATTTCTCTTTTTTTTTTTTTCTTTTTTCAGATTTCATAAGAAAATAGCATATGTTAAGAATACCATATCTAATTTTTAATGTAAAAGATAAGTAACTAATTTACACATATTAAAAAATTAACTAACTATTTATAATAAATAACATTAAAACCACCTTTTAATAATAACTCTCTAACAAGTATAATTATCATAAAAAATAAATTAAAATCTTATATTTAAAATTAAATTAATCTCCAGCTCACTATTATATTAAACACTCTCGTCGTTCTACACTTTCAAAAGTTTTTCCATCCCACCCAACCGAAACCGAAACCGAGACATTTCCCTGCAAGACATAACCGGACCCATTAATTAATTTTAATTTGCTCACCAAATAGCGGGAAACCAAACCCTTAACAAAGCCAACAATCTCAGTCGATTAATTTCGTTGCGTTTGCCATCATCAGGCATCAGTATCCTGAATAACCAACATCTCCCTTGCTACATTAAGTACCTTCTAAGGTATTCAGATAATCTAATCTGCAATCTAGCCAGCAGCTGATGAGCCAGGCTTTGGATTAGGGTCACAACTTAAGCCCCCGCTCATCGCTATTGTGTTCCAGAGAGGCAGAGAATGAGGAGACATGTTTCTGAATAAAAATAAATAGATTTCGTAGAAGCTAATAAGAGGAGGATTCCAAGACGTGACTGAACTTTTCTCTTGGGGAGGGGAGCAAAAAACAAAAAACACAGGCGAGCCAAAGGGGCAAAGAACTTCCATCCCATATGATCACCACCGTCCACCATCACAGAAGCCAAGCCTTGAAAGTAGGAGCGCGTTGATGAAGTCTGCAGCGCATACTCATTGGCGCAGAGGAGACTAATTGGGAGGCCTCCAACAGACGAGATCTTTAGGGGAGAATATATAAACAATTTTACTTATCAGCTACAGTCATCGAAACGATGTCTCTATTTTATCATGCAGGGTGACCACCAAGTTATGTGCATCATCTAGCAGTTTCCAAACATCAAGATGCCCGGCCATGCCATTACATTCCCTAATGATCTCGTCCATGCTGCTATACTTCTCGATGATCAACTTCCTCCTTTGCAATACCGAAGCAGCTATTGCATAGAGCAATAAATCATCTGTTGGTGGAGCACGCTGCCTTATTCTGCTCCATGAAGATTTCCCAATACCTGCCCTGATCGCAGCCTGATCTGCCCACATGACTTCCCAAAGGCAGAGAGTCTGTTCAAATGACAGTTCCCTTCTGAACAATACCACCACCATTCTATAAACAAAAAAGCAATCCTCTGCTTGTAGTTTCTCCAGGTGCCTATATAAGTGAGAGTCCTTAAATTTGATAATTTTTGCAACAATATTCAGCTGCCTCCTAATGCCCACCTCGTCAAGCCTAAAATTCTGCCGTGCCTTCTTCATGAAACCAACAAAACACCAGAAAGCCTCATGATCATCCGGTATGACACTAACAATAGGAGATAGTAGATCACTCATACCCTGGCAGTAGCCAATTTCAGGGTCATATAGTGCATACGCTTCAAGTATAGCAACTAGTCGGGCAGCATGGAAGATTTCACTAGGCTTCAGGTGACCATAATCTTTCAAGCCAACAGCCTCAGCAATACATCGTGCCTGATTTTCTGATACCGCAGCTTGAGAGGGGAAGTATTGAATCCATTCTGTGTTAGCACGTATAGCATCAAGTCGAATAATCCGTTGCCACGTGCAAAAATCCTCATTAGTTACCAGTTTTGATGAGACTTGTGTCTGAAAAGGAGAAGAACCTTCCTTGGTTGCTGTATTGGGATCATTATCTTCTTGATCATCCATAGAGGGGAAAGTTTGAATCTCCTCAGGCTCTTCGGATGAGTCGGAATCCGAGTAATCAGAATCCAGTGCAGAGGCATCAGCATTAATAACATTAGAAACAACATCTCCTTCCAACAATGCACCGGATGGATCATCTGAGTATTCGACCTCTGGGCTCCTTTCCTCACTAGAAAGAGATTCCCTAGCACTGGTTACATCTTCAGAACTAGGAGAACCAGAGCCTTGATTGAGACTCCCACTATCTCTTCCATAGTTGATTCCATTAATTTCATTTAACTTAAAGCGCCCATTGTGGTGCTTTAAGAGCTGCCAGCATCGTCTGCGGAGTTTCTCATATTGCTTTCTGTGTTCAAATATTTGGCATGACATCACCACAATGTTTAACCCAACAGAAGGGGAAATAACAAACAAAATAGAGTTGAGAGGGTAAAGAAAAATCATAGATCAAAGCATGGATGCAATCAACAATCATACGTATAGAGATCAAAATGGTAATCCTACCTATTTTGAGTTCTTATGGCATCTCTTTCTTCTTTGGTGCTGTCCAAGCCATAGCTGTTTTAAAAAAACAAATTACATATTCAGTAAATTAATCGAAGTTTTCCTATAACATACACATGTAGAAAGGTAATATAGTATACGAGGAAGAACCAGATTTAAGTATTTATGTACCAAAAATTGAGGTTCATCCAAAGTATACAGGGAAGTAAAATAGTACTATGCAATAGAAATGAAGTTAAAACAGCATGCTTACACTCCAAGTAGAAATGGCCAAACTTCTGCCCGAATACTAGGATCAACACCCTGAATGATTCATTTATAATGTATTCAATTTCAAATGTAAGAAAAGGACATGAAAAAGACAACATTAAACTCCAGATCAGAACAATGATAAACTCACTCCACTGCGAATTCTTTTCAAGAATTTAATTCCACCATCGCGTAGCCTCCCATCTTGCGTAAACAAGCTTTTCCACTGCTGAGGTGAAAGCACCCGTTTTCTTTTCCTGCGTGACCATGGTGATTTATGCCGGCCCCTGAAAATTCTCCAGAAAAGAATGACTCGTTATTGCCAGTGTGTTAGCTCCAAGTCCTTCACCAACGGAATCTTAGTAGGTGATTCAGACTCTCATTTATTCAGAAAGATAAGTAGAGCCTTTTATTGGTCAAGAAATAGAGCTTAGAACTAACAGATAACTTGAAACAAGAGGAACGGAACTCCTAAAATTAAGAGGCAACCACCGAAGAGGTGGGTTAAAAAAAGGATAAGAAAGATCCGACTCTCTCTCCCTCTCTTTTTTTCATCTTCTAGTTTAAGTCTGGACTCATATAAAAGGACAAAAACACTCATAATCTAAGACGAATGGTTCACTCACCAGAGTAAGGCCATCGAAACACACAGTCAATCAAGCAGTAGAAAGTAAAAGTAAGAGCAAAATGCAGCTGAACAAATAATTAAGACCCGTAAGAGAAAATAAAAAAGGAAGAAGCACAAACCTAATATAAATATACTAGTTGATCAGGCTAAGATGGCACTAATAGTATGATTTAAGGATGCTAATGACTGGAGATCTGACACAAGCAAAATAGAAACAACAGAAATCTGGTTTCAAAAAACTCTTGGAGCTGAAAAACGAAAAAGAAAGATCAAAAGGGCAGAATAACTCACCGATCAGAGGGGGAACAAGAGGAAGCCGGCGAGGAAGAAGTGACAACGAATAGAACCGAACGCAGATGGATCCACGACGAAGACGCCGACGACGAGGAAGAAGAAGGAGAGGAATTCGAAGATGACGCAGATGAATGTTGGCTTCGTCTGAGGGGATTCATCTATATTTACACTTTTTCAGTGGAACAAAATCGGAATCAATAACATTATCATCTACGCCTGACGCAGGTTTGTCGTGGCTCTATTCTCGCTTCTTACAGTTTCATCAGATCCTTTCACCTACCAGCACCGTCGAAAATCACAGCCACCAGAGCCACCGCAGCCAAGGCCGTGAAGACCGCCTTCAAGTTCAACCGCACCGATGCCCCGATCATGAACGAGAATCGACGAGAGCCGCCGACGGAGAAAATAGTACGGTAACTATTGCAGCCGCCGCTGGTAATCAAGTGAGTAGATGTGAACATGGAGGAGGAATAAGGGGGCGGAAAGTAAAATTACGAGAATGCCCTTACCCTCCTCCTCTCCTCTTGCTTTCTTCTGCTCCTTCCTCTTCAACCACGACGAATTCTTCCAGATTTTCCAGAGAACCAACTGCTTCGGTTTCTTTTGCTTTTGCACTTTGATTTTGTCGCGAGAAAGGGCAACTCTTTATCCTTGTCTCTCCCGATGGAGAGAGAGAGAGAGAGCGAAGGGACTTTGAGGCGAATGAAAGACTAGGGAAGAATCTAAAGCATGTGTCCGCTTTCGGCTTTACTTGGAAACAATCCATGGCGGACAAAAACGATGTCGTTGGCATAAAGATATCAACTTATCAACCCAACCTTACTTTTTCAAGTTTTTTTCACCATACGGTTATCATTCAATAGCCTTTCTATCATTTCCTGTCCTGCTAATCCAATCATAGCAAGTAAATTTTGACTCAGAATTTACTATGGTGAACAACTTAAATTTAAGATTTACCCAGTAGGATCTTTCCAGTTTAGCATGACGATTTTCTTTTTGTTTTTTAATCACTCGCGCATATATAGCAACTAAATAAAATCAAATAATAATGCTCTGTACGCGCTTGTAAACATGTGCGAATACACAGAATTATTTTTGTAAATTTTCCTATATAGATAAAATACGAGCTCTCAAACTGATACGATGCAAGTTAAATATCACTGTGTCAATCCAATTATGATTAGTGAAACAAAAATTAACGGTTAAGATTTGTTAAATAAAACGTGATTAAAACATGATTTTTTTTCCTTTCTTTTGGGCAACCATAAAAGATACTCCGTGCACATGGTGACGACAAATATTTGGTAAGCATTAATCCTGCAGTGTCAAAGACGCTTAATTTTCACTAAATGAAAAACACTGAATCGTGAGTCACAAGTTTTTAACAATATAATTCTGCATTGATGGTAAATTGAATGGCTGGCCTGCCCGGTCAATTATGTTTATCCACAGACTGTAATTACTTAGAGAAATGATCATGATTTGATCATACATGTTCTGGCTTCATAATTGGGTGTTGTGGAAGATATTTGGAGCCTGGTTACGCAGCAAACAGAATCTCATAACAAAAATCTAATCAAAGATTAACCGGGTCAATGATCCACATTCTTCGACCCGAAACCCACATGCTCTGGTATTTTAAAGTTGCACCGTTATTGCCTTCTGATAACAGAGAAAGTCAATCCTTAAATGTCGTATAGCAGATTCGTTAAAAAAACCGAAATAGCCATTGGGGTGTTTGGGTTAATTTGTTAAAGTGATTTTTCAAAATAAATATACGAAAAGAGTTTAATCTTCACTTATGGTAAATGTAGTTTTTTTAAGACTCGTAAGCATGCATTGCCAAACCAAAGTGATAAAAAAAATGGTTGACATTTTTAAGGGGACATATAGGAAAACAGTATTACGCGGGAGGTCATATATATAAATATATATGTGCATGTATGTATAAAAGAATCGTTCAAGGCTCTCAATCGTCACTTAGGAACTAAAATATAAAACAAATCCTCCCAATAGCCCATTAATTGCTTCAACGATGGAGTATGTGACTCTTGGAACACCCCACACAAAAATAATTCACGAATTGAAGACTTAAAAAGTACTCTTCTGGTTTTATTTACAGGACAAAGAGAGAAAATATTTTTTAGTCCTATTTATAGGGTATTGAGAGAAATTTTCTATATAGATGTATAATTTTACCTCTCATTTATTATTGTGTTGATTTTATTTATATGAGGTATAATGTATATTAAATAGGGATAAAGTTAGAAATTCATTAAATTTTAAATGAGTTAATGAAGTTTAAAATTTTTTTTTGTCTGTGTAAAATATGCTGGAAGTACCTTATAAATAAGATCAGATAAGTAGCTTGTTTCAGTGGCACCAAGTTGAAGCACAACTTGATGATTAGTTTATTGACTTGTACAAGGGCATGACTAAGGGCTTTAATTTAAAGGGATCGAGCTAATATGCGAAAACTATTACTCCATTCCCCCAGAGTTTGATTAATACATTACTCCTATATTTTTTTTTTAAATGCACCAAAGTGTAAATCAAGGTAAGGGTAGGACATGTTTTATGGCTCAAAAAATATTTAAAAAGTTATTATAAATTGTTTATGAACAAAATTCTCACGTCAGTAACGGGATTTAAACCTATGATTATGTTAAGTTCTTACCAATTGAATTCAACAAACATTCAACGTTAAATACAATCATTATTGACAATATGACTGAAGATATACGTATGCCATATTGATACTCAAAGTATTGAGGTGAAAAGGAGATGACAGTATCAAAAGAATGAAGAGAGAATTACAATCAAATCTCACAAAAGAGAAATAATTACTAAAAAATTTTAATAATAATCTGAGCAGCCTGTAATGATAAGTCTTATAGTAGATAGTAACAACATCTAAGACTTATTTTGTAATTTTTTTAATGGGACTTAATTGTAATTCTCCCAAGAATGAATATCAATCCATCAAATTATGTGATAATTTTTCAAAAAGAAAGTTATAGTATTCACACAGAATAATATACAACTCGTCTATCAAACTGCATTTAATCAACTAATTGTGTAAATGTATGTTTACATGTATAAATGTAGATGGAGTCAAGCATACTTTCTCATATACTGTGGGGACTTATAAAAGAATCACCATAACTATAATAAATTCTGTATAATATATATATATTGTTACTTTAATCAAAGTAAAATTAAAAGTTGGTCCTCAGTAGTAGTGACTATCATCTAAAGTAACCTCGACTTTCGCGTTAAGAAAGAAGATCAAATCCCCAAACACCAGTCAACAGGGATGGGGGCGGGGTATTTCACTTTGGATGTCCAAGGCACCAAGCCAAGTAAAAAAAGGAGACGGGGGAAATAAAAAAGTTAAACAATAAAATGATATATAAAGAGATAAAATTGCATGCTAACGAAGAAAAAGAAATAAGTAAAACCAAGATGATCTAGACACCGGTGCAGATAAACGCTAAAAGATCTTGCTGAGAAAAGTAAAGTCCACTCCTATTATTTTTATGTTTAGAAAAATTTTATTTATAACTGTCCGTTGGATGGGAAAAAAAGAGAGAGAGAGAAATTATATACTGCTCTTGTCTTATTTATAAGATAGAGAGAGAAGATATTTTCTGGTCTTATTTATAAGGTACTGAAAAAAATTTTTGTATAGATATACAGTTTTATCTTTTATTTATTATTATGACGATTTTGTTTACATAAGGTATAATGTATATTAAATAGGGATAATGTTGAAAAATTATTGAATTTTAAATGAAAGTTAATGAAATTTGAGGTTTTTCGTGGTTTGCAAATATTAAAAATGACTTATAAATAAAATTAGAAAAATAAGTTTAATTATTTTGGTTTATACTACTCTTTTTAATGTAGGTACAGTCATATCTCTTTTCATCTAGAATGGGAATAAAAATGGAAGCATGTTTGCCCCCCAAAAAAATGGAAGTAATTTGTTTACCGCATTCATTATTATTTTGATATCACCTCTGTTAGTATTATTTATCGATATTATATATTTGCCCAAATGAGAATTTTTTTTTTTAATACACGAAGAAAATAACTTTAAGGAATCAAGTATAATCTCTAAAGAGAAACACAGTGGGGACCAAAATTCTACAGGCGAGTGAGATGCGATATAGGGTGTCTAAATGTTTTTATTTAATTTATTTGATTATTTTCCATTAAATATGAACAAAGAGGGTGTGAAAGAGAACATTGAAGGCCACATTCGTTGAGCTTGTCGGATGGTCATCCTTAATTGCCGCCTTGAGAAACGACCGTGGGCAATAGAGAACGTTAATTTGTTATTGACATGGACAGGCTTTATAATTTTAATCAAGTCCATGATATTTTAAAATTACATATTTTTTATCAGTAATTAATAATAATAAAAGGGAAATCAGGCCTATATTATTAGGTTGACCTGAATCTTTCCAACTTGTGATGATGAAGGCAGCTTTAGATCCACCATCCCATTGCTTTTTCCATTTGCAAATCTCGGAGTCTTAAATCCCATGTTTACAGAAAGTGGCCTTGCCATTATTAACAGGAGCCTTCCCCAGCCAGGCCACACACTCATCCCACCACCCCAAAAAAAAAAAAAAAAAGAATTTTTAGATCAATTTTACAATATATTATTTTTAGTTTTTAATATAAAAACTAGTTTAACTTTTAATTTAATTTTAAATATAAGATTTCAATCTATTTTGTCTCTTATATTTATTTATTTTTTTAAGATAGTCCTCGTAGTAGTTGCACATATTAAATGTTTCATCAAATGGTAGTTCTAGTTAATATATATAATTAGTAATGATATTTTAGAAAAAATAACACATATTTATTACAAGTAACTAATTTAAACCATAGAAATTTGAAAAAAAAGGTAATAAAATATGCTATTTGAAAATTTTTGTGTATCGATATTTTTTATACGTATAAACATATCGAATTTTTCTTGTCAATAAGATGTGAAAATCTAAACATTTTACCAATTTTTTCTTTAAATTTCAAATGATTTTAAAAATTAAACAAGAAAGAAAGAATCAAAAGGCGCAAGAGTGAGGATGCCGGTTTTGTGCCAAATGGATTATTGGCATGCGGGAGAAGATAATATGTTGTCTTTTAAATTTTAAAATATTTAACGTTATAAATATACGTTTGGTGTTGCTTAGGAATCTGAGAATTGAGATTTGAGACGCTTCATGCATGTGTCCTTCCGTGTCTAGGGCAAGCATGTGGACAGGGTAGCTTAATTAGGGGAGTTAGAAACTTCGAATGGTGCGGAAAATCAATGTCTTAATATTTAATCACGAAGCGGGATTTTCTCACTATTTCTTTTTTACCACTCCTTCCGGCCTTTTTTTCAGCTATTAAATTCGCAAGCTCAGGAAATTAATTAATAAGGTGATCACGAACGCAAGTTTTGCATGCATGGTGAATTAATTTGTTTGGCTTTTTTTGGGGACGCAATATTAATATGAAAATACAATATATAGAGCGTCCTGAAAACGTACGTACTTCAATTATATGTTACGTGAAGCAGCAGTGATACTAGAAGAAAAGTCACAGGGTACCGGTTTGCTTGAGAAAGTAGCCAAATTAATCAGTATGTAGTTGTGTTAAATTAAACGCTCATTAATTAGTAGAATGGGCAAGTTTC